ACTCCAGCATACTGTATCTGTGAACTTTTTCCAGGAAGAAGATAGGGAAGTGTTCAGAGTTGCAATAGACGGGAAGCTTGCCTGGCTGTGTTCTAAGAAAAATCAAGTTTTGATCACCCCCTACTGGGCAAGCCTGCTGATGGCAACAAAAATAAACGTGGAAGAAATGAGCGAGGAAAACTGAGAAAAGAACCATTTTAGAGAAAAACATGACCATGCTGGAAAAGGAGGAAGGGAGTCAGGGACAGCATTGAACACGGGTAGTTTTTCCCCCTTTTGGATTTCTGCTACAAAGGGCACAGGAATCTGACTTCTTTTGTCAAGCTACAATAATCTCCCAAGACAACAGAGAATGGAGCAATGTTCAGCAAGTAAAGTGGGACTGTCCAGATGTCATTTAAGGGAGTTCAGGTCCCCAGGCACCACATTTTATGCTCCAGGATTCAGAAGCAGCTTCTAATCATAAAACTCCTACCTCTAGGCGAGTTTTAGGACAAACACATGTGATTATTTTTCAAACATTTTAAAGGGCTAACAAGAACAACTAGAGGTTTTTTTGTTTTGTTTTGTTTTGGGATACCAGGGATTGAGCCCAGGGGCACTCAGCCACTGAGCCACATCCCCAGACCTATTTTGTATTTTATTTAGGGACAGGGTCTACACTGAATTGCTTAGCACCTCACTGTTGCTGAGGCTGGCTTTGAACTCACAACTCTCCTGTCTCAGCCTCCCAAGCCACTGGGACCACCACACCCTGCACAACTAGAGGTATTTTGTGATAAAAAGACTAGGATCAGTGAGTTGCAATTATATGGAAGCATATTTATGCTTTCATTTAAAGAACTTTAAGCAATTATCCATCTCCAAAAGAAGGAAATTATCTTCTAGAATTGTACCTGGCCACAGAAACAGAAGTCCAGGCCAGCATAGAAGGGATGGGGCAAAAAGAGCTTGGACTGTGGGTACTCACAATGACATTCATTCAGTCTGCATTTATTAGGGCCTTCTCATTCATCATTGCCCATATCAGTAATTATTTGTTTAGGTATCTGCCAAGAATTGTATATTTTTCATTTTAAGTTTTTCCTGTCCTATCACAATGCCTGGCATATTATAGGTTCTTAATAATTGTCGAAAGGGACAGATGAGGCAGGACACTGAAGACAGTAGGAAGCAGTTTTATTTGGGTGCAGCCAGGTTCAGAGGGTAAAGCTTTCACTGTAATCAACTAATCCCCCTGAACCCAGAGTTCAGGCAGTTTCAGAACTTTATACCCAGTGTGTAAAGGGTAGGGCTCAGAAGTTCACAGTCTGTAGAAGTTCACACAAAAGCAGCTTTTTCTTTCACTGCTCTGGGCAAGTTTACCCTTCAAGGACAACACCTGAGAAGGGGAGAGCTGCTTCTCCCCTTTCTTCCCTCCACCTGCCAGCTGTTTCCATGAAGCCCAATTAGCAACATCTTCTCTTATCTTTGGAATGTAAACATCTCAGTGAAGCTCCAGCCCAAGGCAAGAGGCCTCCTTAAAAGAATGTTTTTTTTTTATCATTCTCTGTATTTGCAAACACACTTCCCTTGAAAACCTTTACAAAAAGTAACAATATTTATAGTTAAATATTGTAATATATAGTTATATATTATAACTATATATGTATATATATACATATATAGTTACAATATATAACTATATATAGAGCTGTACATGTACAGAATGTGTATGTGTGTATATATGTATGTATGTACATATATATGTATGTGTGTGTGTGTATATATATATATATATATATATATATATATATATTCCATAAATGTTTGTGAAAAATTAGTAAAAGATGTTCAGCACCTGGAGTGCTGATCTCTTTGAGGCCCCTGGCCAAATTTAATTGTAAGATAGAGCAACAGGAAATAGGAAGCTTAAGTACATTGAACTCTTTTGTAGAGATTCTTTTGCTGATAGTCCTAAGATCAATTATGGTGAAGATTTCTGGAGAAGCTTAATTAAGATTTTCTGTGGAGGAGGGGATGCCACTACATAAACTGATTGGGAATCAAAACCATTCTGAAGAGGAAGTGCATATGACACATCACAGTGCACCATAAGTCACATCTACTAACTTTTTCCTTGTCTACTCTTTTGGGGTTTTGTCATGTGGTTGTGGTTATATTAATGGAAGGAAACAATGGATCATCCTAAATTAACTTTTTTTTTTTGGTACTGGGGGTTGAACACAAGGATGCTTTACCACTGAGGTACATTTTTAGTTTGAGACAGGATCTCACTAAGTTATGGAGGGTCTTGCTGAGTTGCTGAGGCTGGCCTTGAACTTGCAATCCTCCTACCTCAGCCTCCTAAATGCTGAGATTACAAGAGTGCACCACCACACCCGCTTATATTAACTCATTTTAATACAGTACGATTTAGATGAATAACATTGAAATAATTTTTAATGACTTTTTAAAAAATCTCTTGAGGGCTGGGGAGGTAGCTCAGTAGTAGAGCATTTGCCTAACACACATGATGCCCTGGATTTGATCCCCAGCTCAAAAAAGTTTGAATCTTGCCTAATGTCTTCTCTGATAAGGGGGGTGACTCAAATTGGTGTTGGGAGGGAGAGCAAGGGAGGAAGGTTACCTCTAGATAGGGAATAGGGGTGGGAGGGAAAGGGAGGGAGAAGGGGAATAGCATGGATGGTGAAAGGAGACCCTCATCATTATACAAAATACATGTATAAAGATGTGAATTTGGTGTCAACATACCTTATATATAATCACAGATATGATAAATTATTGTATAATGGTGTATTAAGAATTGTAATGCAAAAATAAATAAATAAATAAATGTTTGAATCTTGACTCTCCCACCAATTAGTTGTATGATATTGGAAAAGGTACTTTTCTGGGTCCAAGTTTTCTGATCTTTAAAAATGGAAAATTTTAATATTTCACAGGGGTAAGTGTTCTCAAGATTATAATATTTCATGGTATTAATATTTCATAAAGTAATGGAGATAAATGTGTGTGTGTAGTCCATTGTTTCCAAAGATGCTTACATTATCAGTCTTGCAGCGTGACCAAGAGATAATCCACTTTTCTACCCCTTGATTCTGGGCAATTAACCTGTTATAAAAAAAAAAAAAACGGTAGAAATTATGCTATATAACTCCCACTGAAAGGCATCTACAAGTCCTACCCTCTTAAAATGCTCCTTTTGGGGAATCTAGTCATCAAGCCACAAAAAGACCCAAGCAGTGAAGTGGAGGGACCAAGCCCCCAGGCCAATATCCCCAGCTGAGTTTCCAGTCTCTGGCCCAGCACCTATTGGCAGCCATCGCTGCTCAAGTGACACCATGGAAAGCAGAACAGGCCAGCCAATCTGTATCTTTTTGAGGTGATGTGGAAAATATTAAAACAATCATTGTGTTAAGGTATTAAATTTTAGGGTAGTCTTTTATGCAGCAAGAAAGAATTAACAAAATGCCTAACAGTACCTGGCCCATGTTAAGGACTCAAAGGAGGTGTATGCAGGGAATGGCAGTGGTAAATAAGTATTATGAAAAAGTTGGAGAGAAGGGAAAAAGTTAATATGATCTGGCCAAACAATAGAAAAAAGATGTTGAAGTTTATCTAGCCCAACAATTCACTGTGCAAAACCTCCATACCCATCACCTAAGTGCTCTCCCATTCTTCAGAATGGCACAGGATGTTGGAGGACATGTCTTCACTTTTGAACAACCCTAAAAGAATGTTTTTCCTTTTATTGAATACTTCCATTATTTCTATTCATTGGTCTCATCCTACCTTCTGGGATCTCTTAAAACAAACTGTATTTCCAAATGACAGCACTTCACCAGTACTTGAAAACTAACATTGCTTTATAACTATGCTATATAACTCCCACAGCTGAAACTAAGGCAATCTGAAGGTATTCCCCATCTTGTTTTCTATGACAAGGGATAAAGACAAATTCTGCAAGTTCTCTTAGGATGGATGCATGGTGTTCAGGCCTTACATCTTTAGATTTGCTAATGTGATCTTTGGATGACCACTAGCTTGTAAACACTCCCCTTAGGATATGGCACCTAAGACAGGCCAATCTCAGACATCTGACCAATGCTGAAAGATTGGCTTTATTTCAAAAATCCTAAGGAAATAATTATGTCAGAGGTTTACTGCAAAATAATTTGGTAAGGAGTGGGAAGTCCATGACGGAATGAAGAAAATGAGACTAATTTTGACTATCATGTCACTTTTTAAAATATTTTTATGCTTTTGAAAATAATTTTTTAAAAATGATACTAGAACACGTCTAGGGGGAATGTCTAAATTTATGATATATATGGACAGGGAATTCCGTGCTCAGGCATGCATTCATGTTCCTGTCCCTCAATATATGTGACTTTTGCAACACCAGACAAAAGCAATCTCTCTAAGGGATGCTTTGGGGGGGGGGGGTGGAACTGAGGTCGAAAACAGCATCTTCAGTCTGGGAACCTGCAGCTGCACAAGACCATAGGGGAAAAGACAAGCAAAGACCTCCTTATCAAGTCCTGCAACATCCAGAGAAGCGCAGCCCCTATGATTTATTTCTGCAGGGGAAGGTTAGGACTCGCAAATGCACACGGCCACTTAGGACTGACACCATGACCCGCATCTGCAAGTGATATCTGTATCTCCCGCTTCACGGGCCCAGGTACCTAAACGTGGTGATGGGCCTGAGGCAGTCGACAAGGGGCCCTAGGTCACCACGCTCAGCCGGTATTGCCCCCCAACCCTCGTCCCAGGGTGTCGGGAGCTATGCTGGAAACCCGACGAAGCGTTCGCCTGGTCGGTCCGTCTGGGTAAAAACGGGCAGAAAGCTGTCTGACTCCTTAAGGCCTTAATCTCCTTTAAGGGCGATTCCGCTTCTCCAAACGCTCCTGAACCAGGGCATCAAGAAGTTTCCCGAATTCCTAGAGGGGCCACGCGGCCCCTCAGCAACTCCCGCGGGGGCGGGGCTCTGACGCACTTCCGGCTGCGCCGTCTCGCGGCCCGCCGAGCGGTCTCCCCGCGCCCGGAGCGGCTGTGACTCACGGTGAGCCTGTTGGTCCCCGGTTATCGCGGCGGGTGGGGAGGGGTCGGTGGCCAGGTTTAGGGAGGGACAGGGGGACTGGCTTAGCGGCTGTGGTCTCCGGGAATCTCCGACTGGCCCTAGCGGGGCTGTGGGGAGGAGCCCCGGTCCCTGCCCAGCCCGTGCTGATGGAGGCGCCGGCTCTCTGGAATGGTTTTTCCACCCCCTAGGGCTTTAACAAATGAAACCTTGTCTCCTCTGCGCCCCAGAGGAGCTTTCTTTTGTGCTCTCTCGAGCCGAGCCGTTCGTTAGTCGGCCTGGGGCTGCCCGCCCTTCCTTCCGTGGCTCTCAATTAGGTCTGAACTCGAGGCTCATTGTTAGAAGTAACGTCCGATGGGTGGGAACCTCCTGTGGGAAGCGGCATCTTGGCAGCCGCGGGCCGTGCCCAGCAACTTCGGGCTGCGCCCAGGTTGGAAAGCTTACGCACAGCGGAGAGCTGGTCCGGTTTGGAAACGTTTTTAGAGGACCGATTATAAGTAGGGTGTAAAGAGAGGTGATTTGGCTGGGGAGAGAGATTTGGAAAGCCATGCTATATAAGGAAAAGTTTAAGTACTGTGGACCGGGGGATAAAAACCACGGTGGAGAGGAAACAATCTAGGTAGCTCCAAACAAAAGTTCACTGTAGTTGAAGACCATGTGAGTTGTGTGAGCCTTTGTTTTCTCTTCACTTGCTTTTTGAGTTTATATACACTTTAAGAAAAACTCGAATGCCAAGACCAGGAGAGCATCCCAAAATGAATCTTTACACAAACTCCGCGTGACCAAATGTTAAATTACTGGTTTGCTTCAGGGAGGGAAAAAAAAATAATGTCAAGACAGTTTATTATCCAATTTTTAAATGTTTAAAATTCTTGCCATAGAAGATTCCAACGTCCGTGGAACCGTTTCGTTGAGGCTTTGATTTGCCTTTCTCTTCTTCCCTCCCCCAACTTTTTTTTTTTTTTTTTTTTTTTTTTTTTTTTTTTGGTAGCGTGCACTCACTGTTGTTCCTGCTTACTTTGGATTTGTAATTCTCCTGCCTCAGCCTCAGTGAGCTCCTATTACAGGCATGCATCACCACATCTGGGACAGTTCTTTTCTTATTACTAAGATTGTGCACGTTTTCCTGAATTAATTAGTAAGCTGAGACAGGAATGAAACAGAATCCTACATGATTATTAGATCTTAGTGGAACATAGAGAATAAGGAGAGGAGTGATGAGACCTAGTGGAGAGATAGAGGGCCAATTGTGATTCTGTCTGTCCAGCACAATCATGGCGCTTTATTCTAGGAGATTAGATGGCACGTCTCCCCCGCCTCAGTTTTTCTAGGAGTCTTGCACTTGGGTGATTCGGTGGCTAAACTAGGTGCAGACAGAGATCAGTGTGAAGGTGCTGAAGCTGGTCCACTCTGTCAGAACATCTAATGGCATCTCTTAGGATGCTTCAGGATTTGTGTTTTTAATAAAAAAAACTAAGTGTATGAGGCTGGGCATGGTGGCAGGTGCCATAATCCCAGCAGCTTGAGAGGCTGAGGCTAGAGAATGCTGAGTTCAAAGCCAGCCTCAGCAACAGTGAGGTGATAAGTAACTCAATGAGACCCTGTCTCTAAATAAAATATAAAATAGGGGTGGGGATGTGGCTTAGGGGTTGAGTGCCACTGAGTTCAATCCCTGGTACCAAAAAAAAAAAAAAAAAACAGGGTGTGGTGGTTGGGGATTTGGCTCAATGGTTAAGTGCCCCTGGGTTCAATTCCCAGTACCAAAAAGAGAGAGAGAGAGAGAGAAAGAATTACAATCTTAAAAGTCTGCAAGTTAAATTGACCAGGGCAAGTTGTGTAGCATGAGGGAAACAACTGTCCTTGGGGACAAATGAGTCAGGGGGGCTGGGGCTCAGTGGCAGAGTGCTTGCCTAGCATGCATGAGGCACTGGGTTCAATCCCCAGCACCACATAAAATTAAAAAAAAAAAGCTAAATAAACAAAATAAGGGTATTGTGTTCATCTACAACTGTGTGTGTGTGTGTGTGTGTGTGTGTGTGTGTGTGTGTTTATTTATTTTAAAAAAATGAATCAGAGCCAGGCTGCCTTGTTCAGTGCTAGATTGCTTCATCCAGGGTTCATGAGGAAAGAATCTGGGTAGGACATGATCTTTTTTCTAGGCACAGTATGTACTTGGTCTCTACTGGTTTCAAACCTAGAGCTATTGTTTTTATCTCACTAAGGGAGCATTGTAGTTACTTTTAAGTCCAGTTCATTCATTCATACACTCCACAAAATCTTTTGTTTTAAGAGACAGGGTCTTCTTCTATTTCCCAGGCTAGCCCCAAACTCTGGCTCAAGCAATCCTCATGCCTCAGTCTCCACTCCACTTTATTGAGCATCTGTTATATACCAGACATGTGCTAGACTCCCATTCTATTCACTCCTCAGTGAATAGTTTACATAGTAAACTAAAGCTCCTGTTCTCTTTCCACCTTATATTGTCTTACCTTCAGCTACAACTTATCACTTGAGCTTTCTGCTGCTCAGTGATTCTTCAGCCTTACCCTCAACTGCAGTGTATTTCCCAAGCTAGTTCACACCCCAGATCCAAGTAGTTCTTCTTTTTTAGTATTAAAAATACTTTGATTATTTAAAAATAACATTCCTCAGCTGGGATACAGCAGCCACACCCATAACCCTAGTGATTTGGAAGACAGTAGAATAGCAAGTTCAAGGCCAGACTGAGCAACAACAAGGCCCTATCTCAAAATTTTAAAATAAATAAAAAGGGCTGAGGACGTAGCTTAGTGGTAGAGAATCCTTGGTTTGATTTCTCGTACCATAGAAATAAATAAGTTTCTTGGCTGGTGAAATTTTTCTTACTACATCAAAGGATACCACAAACTCTCCATATTCATCTTTTCTGCAAATTTTTAAAGACTGTTGACTTTCATTTCCCAAACTGATTATTCATTGGTAGTTCCTGAAGATGGGGAATGGCATTTTCCTATTTTGGAGTATTTGGGGAAATTGGTAGCATTGAAAATATCCAAAGAAGTTCCATAACAACAAAAGCTAAAAGTCTTGTTTGGTGTTGGCTAACCCCTTATTTCCTAGACTCAAATTTAGCCAGAGAATCCTTTATTTGGATGATTGGCTTTAGTTCTGAAATAGTGCTGTATGTTTTTCTTGCTGTGCCGTAGTTTCCCTTCTCATGTTTTGAGCTTCTTGCTGATGTTTGTGATTCTATTGCTAAGCATTCCACCAACATTAATTTCATAAATACAAACCTTCTCCGCACAGCACCAGCAATAAAAACTATTTAGTTTGTCAAAGGACTATTTGTAATACCTTTAAAGATTTTTTGATTACGAAAGAAGTAATATACATTCTTTTTAAAAAATTTGGAAATCCAAACAAGAAAAGAATGTTGAAATTCTCTATCATTACATAACCCAGCAGTGTCACTGTTAATTAAGTTTTGGTCTTTTTCCCTCGTTATGTTTGTACTATGCACATATTTATCACTTTTTATACCTCGAGGTGCTGGCAAGCCAGATCCAGGGAGATTGATGCATGTACAAAACTAGCTTAGTTTGGTGTTTTAAATGTGCTAGGTCGAGATGTACTACAAGTCCTCCTTCAGGTTTTATAAAGTATTTATAGATCCTCTTTATAGTCTTTACAGTTATTATCAGTGTAATTTCATGTAGGTGTTTTAAGTATTTCTCTTTTTTAGGACTGGCAGAATTTTGTTCTTCTAGATAGCCATATTCAACATAGGATGCCTAGATGTCTTGAAAGATGCTGCTTAAGACTTGAAAACAGGAAGATCAGTCACAAACATAAGACTTTGATTAATTTATTAATTTTTAAATATGCTTAATAAGTGCCAGTAATTTTAGACTGATTCTCTTGTCTATTATTTACCATCTCCCCTATTATAAAAGTTTGAAAGCTCCCAGAGGGTGGGGTGTGTGTCGTACTTGCCCACTGCAGCCCTAGTACCATCCGCATGACAGGTATTCAGATATTGAATGAATAGACTTCATGGCAAATGAAGAGAATCGAAGTGATTATGTTATTACTTGTGTGTTGGTATTCACATGTGTCAATAGCCTGAAAGATTTAGAGTATTTAAAATTTAAAAGAAAAGATACTTTAAACATTTTAAAAAATATTTTTAGTTGCAGATGCACACAATACTTTATTTTTAAGCGATGCTGACGATCGAACCTAGTGCTTCATAGATACTAGGCAAATGCTGTACCACTGAGCTACAACCCCAGCCTTACTTTAAGCATTTTTTTTGTATCCTCTATTTTGAGTGACATTTTGTCAAAATAAATATCACAATAAGAATACATGTCACTTTTAGTCTATTCTCTGTCATTCCACCTGCCTTTCTGTTAAAAAGCTAAAGACATTTAAAAACTTGCATATGCCCTACTTAAAATGGGTCAAGTGAAGCTCAAAATTATGTCTTTAATTACACTTCATTATTGTATGTTAGTTAATTCCAACCTCATACCTGGTTATGCCAACAAACCCAGTTATTTGACTACTAAATTTTTTAAAAATATATTTCTATATAGATAGAAACAATAACTTTATTTTATTTTATGTGGTGTGAGGATTGAACCCAGTGCCTCATACTAAGCAGGTGCTCTACCATTGAGCCACAACCCCAGCCCTTGACTAGTAAATTTTTAATGTTCAAGTTAAATAAATGTCTTAGGTTCAAACAGACAGTATTTGACCACTAGATAGCTTGTTGAATGTTCAGAAACTAAGGTATCTCTAGTTGTAAGATTGTGAAACAGTTTTTGGAGCAAATTAATCTGATTTTAAAATTATGCCACACAGCACTTTTTAGGAAGATAGAGACACAACACAGTAAAATCAAAGTAGGCTATCACAAGCTGACTCCAGAATAATTTTGAATAATAATTTTGGTCATAATTTCTACAATTTCCTGTACTAAAAGTATGTCTATAAAAACAAACAAAAAAAGTCACTTTTTCTTTTGGTGATTTTATGGTGACCGTATTTTCATAGGTTTAACGTGTGGCCCTAAGGAACCAGAAACCCAAAAGAACCAAAACTCCTGCTCCACAAAGCCTGCCCTAGAGAAGCCATTTCTGGAGTCTGTATGATGACCAAGGTGGTGGGCATGGCCACAGTTCTGGGCCCCAGGCCCCCTCAGGATCAGGTGGGGCCTGTAACTGTGAAAGTCGAGGATGAAGAAGAGAAAGGGAAGTGCCTTCCCAGCCTGGAGATGTTCCGTCAACGCTTTAGGCAGTTTGGGTACCATGACACCCCTGGGCCCCGGGAGGCCCTGAGCCAGCTCCGGGTGCTCTGCTGTGAGTGGCTGAGGCCGGAGATCCATACCAAGGAGCAGATCCTGGAGTTGCTGGTGCTGGAGCAGTTCCTGACCATCCTGCCCCAAGAACTTCAGGCCTGGGTGCAGGACCATTGCCCAGAGAGTGCCGAAGAGGCCGTCACTCTCCTGGAAGATCTGGAGCGAGAACTGGATGAACCAGCACTGCAGGTAGGGAAGGGGGGCTTTTTTAATTTCAGATATTAAAAGCATAGCATTCCCTGCAGGAACACGGATTTGTCCATTCAACCAAATTAGCGGGATAGAATTACTGTGAGTTGGACCATTTTCCTTGTAAGTTTTCTTCTTTAATCTTGAGGATCCAGTAGGATGGACGTTTTTCTTTTCTTTCCCTAGTTTTTCCCTGAGATATTTCATTCTAATAGTGAGCTGTGCACAAACCCAGCCATTTCTTACTATTTCTAGGTTTCAACTCCAAATGAACAGAAACAAGTGTGGGAGAAGACATCATCTTCAGGAAGTGCCAAGGCATCCCTGAGCAGCATGCAGACACAGTCTGTGGAGACCAGTCCCAAGTATGAATCCTGGGGGCCTCTGTATATCCAAGAGACTGGTGAGGAGCAGGATTACACTCAGGATCCAAGAAAAAGTCAAGGTGAGCACCATCTCAGAGGGCCCTGGCCTTCATAGTTGAAGAAGGAGAAGGATCCATAATTTCTGGTGTGTAGTGACTCCTGGTGTGTAGTGACTCCTGGATTGACTTGACTAGCAGGCTAACTAAGCAAAGTAGTTTCCTTTCTTCCCCACATTTAACTGTATCAGCCAGGGTCCTGGTGTGGGAACAGATGGCACACTCTTAGAGGGCCAAGTGAAATGAGTTAGATAAAGGACTTTACAGAGGTGTGGACAGCCAGTAACGGGTAGAGCACCCTAGACAGCAATGTAAAGGTATTATTATCACCAGATGTGGTGGTGCATGCCTGTAATAACCCAACTATCAAGAGGTTGAGGCAGGAAGATTGTAAGTTCAGGGCCAGTCTGGGCAACTAAGCAAGACCTTGTCAAAAAAATAAATAAAAAGGACCAGGGATAGGAATGTAGCTCAGTGTTAAGCTCCCCAGGGTTCAGTCCCCAGTACCATTTAAGGGAGGGAGGCATTACTCTCTATGAACCTAAAGGGTTGAGAAAGAGGACCTGTCACCAGAGTCTGATGGGAGCTGTAGCCTTGGTTGAGGGAGGAGGGAGGTCACTTGATAGGAGCTGTGGCTGCAGACCCTGTCATCAGATAGAGAGCAAAGGGAATAAATACCCCAGTTTGACGCTGCTCCTGCCCACACATCTTCTGCTAGTTTCCCTATTGGCAGACCCCCCTGGCAGCCAGATCAGGACAAACAAGACAGTTGTACAGTCCTCTAGCAGTTAGTTTCTTGCGGGTACAGAGCAAGAGACAATGGATCGGGAAAGAATGAATGGAAGATAACTGGCAGCCTCCTTTCTGAAGCTAGCAGGTCACAACTGTATTGGGGTAGCCGTACTTCCCTGCTCAAATCCACAAATCATAGTTTACAGAACAGTCTCAGACACTATAGATGGTTTTCCCCTTTGTTATTTCATACTAATGGTTTCTATGCTCATACTATCGTTTCCTAGAAGAATTACAACTAAATCTTAAAATATTTAATTTTTAGTTATGTTTATGAAAACATGGGACATTATTCCAGATCTTATAGTCCACCAGGGCTTTGCTCAAGTGTAGGTGGTGTAATCGCTAATCATGTGTATGTTGTACTTTCATGAGCAGAGTCCATAGCCCTCAGAAATCTCCATGAGATGTTACCATGTCCCACACACATGGAATTCCATCTTAGAAACGGGTGGGGTTTTTGTTTGTTTGTTTGTTTCTGTATTGGGGATTGAACTCAGGGGTGCTTAACCACTAGCAAATCCCTAGTCCTTTTTTTATATTTTATTTTGAGACAGGGCCTCACTAAGTTGCTGAGGCTGGCCTTGAACTTGTGATCCTCCTGCCTCAGCCTCCCAAGCTACTGGGGTTATGGGTGTACACCACCATGCCTGGCTGGAAACAGAGTTTTGATCTCTGTTAATCATATTCTCTGGGAAAAGTAAAAAAAAAAAAAAAAAAAAAAGGAACTGTCTGGCTAAATTTAAATGTTTAATGCCAATTCTCCTCTCTAGTCATTTGGAGCCTTCTGGGAGTTTCTAGACTACTTAAAGTTATAGATAGCCATAATGGTTAGTTTTATTTTCTGTTTCTCTTGGCATAGTCACTTGGCAGTGCTACCCAGAGGAGAGGTAGAGAGGAAGGATTATCAGAGCCAGTAGCAGGCTCAGGTTTTAATGTCCAAATGGGGAGAAAAGACAGGTTCTTGAGCCCTCCTGAGGGAAAGGAAGTTTCTGAAAGCCTTGCATGAAGAAGACCCAAAAGGTTATACACTAACTGTGAAAAGTCTTGTTAGGCCCAAAGAACCATCCTACTAGCATGGGATCCAGAACCGAAGTTTGCCAATCTAAGTGGAGATAGAAGCATACCCAGAGACATTGAAACCCTAGACAGCTACCTTAGTAGGAGATCTGACTTTATTTTACCTGAATGGTACAGAAACCACCAAGCTAAGAAGTTAGCATAAGCCTTGGTTCTCAGTACGTGACAGAGCAAATGTGAAGCCACAGACTGTGTATTCCAGCAAATTCTAGACTATTCCAGGCTGTACAGTTATTTAGAGTGAGAGTTGGGGGGGATAAAGCCTTTCTAAGAAATAAAAGTTATAAAATTATGAAATATCCAAAGGAGAATAAGAGTCAGTAGACCCAACAGAAGGAAAATTAAAGCTCAATTATCTGTGATAATGGAACATTGATGTAAATCACTTTATAATATAAGTTGGTTTCAAATAAATTAATACAAATCATTGCAATCTCAAGATAGTAAGAAGCTGTTGGGGGAGGGATAAACAGGCAGCTTTGATTAAAAAAAAATAGCGTTTCTGAACATGAAAACTGTGGTCAATAAAATGAACACAGTGGCTATTTTAAACAGTTAAAGAGATGATTAGTGGACCGAGGGGTAAACTGAGAAAGTTACCTGAAATGCTGCATGGAAAGAAGAGATGGAAGGCGCCGAGGGTAGTGGGGAGTGGGCAGGCCATACAGCTCTATTTAACATCAATTCCAGGGGAGAATAGAGTTGAGAGAGACTGAGATTGTCCAGAAGTGATGAAAGACACAAATACTCAAATTCAGGAAATAAACCAAGTAAGCTGAATGTCCCAATGTCCCTGAACTAAATGTCCCTAAAAAACTATTTTTCTTTTTCTTTTTTTTAATCTTTATTTTATTTATTTATGTTTATATGGTGCTGAGGATCGAACCCAGGGCCTTGCATGTACTAGACGAGTGCTCTACCACTGAGTCACAATCCCAGCCCCAGAAAACTGTTTTTCAAAGCCTGCTTCATTAGACTACTTTCGAAATCTTAACTTGTATTAAGTTATTTTTATTTATGTTAAGTAAGATGTACGTGCTACACATAGCTCATGGCTCATGCAGTAACTCAAAATGTCGCCAAGTGATTGCTTCTTATGAAAAGTGAATAGGAGGATGAAGAGAGAGAGAGAGAAACGGGTTCCATGGAGGGATAACAGTTCTCCACAAGAGCCTGTTTTTCAGAGTACATTTCTCATAGACCCCTTTTCCACAAATGGTTAAAATGACTTTAATGAAGTGTTAACTACCTAGCAAAATGCTTTAAACTGGTTCAGTCTGATATTGTCACTAATGATAAGACATAGCCAGCATTAGTTAAATGGTGAGTTAACCCCCATTCATATTAGTCCTGATCTGGAATCAGAATGAATGTAAATGGGACTGAATGCCCTGAATGTTCTTCATTGCTTTCATATTCGGTTCTGTGGGAATGCGGGTTCTGTGAGTTTGCCGCTTAGCCTCATCTCCCTTAAGTTATTTTTGTTCCTTAATCAGCTTTGGTCATTGTTCCTGCCTGAGCATCATTCGTCTCCTTTGCTCCTGTTCAGATGTGCTTATTTTCCTGTTTATACCTTGTGCCATATATGTATATGAAGCTTTCATGGCAGAAATGTTCATGGACTCATCAGACCATTGTAGCTTGTGGTAGGGAGCTTATGTGTGACGATCCTATTTCTTTTTTAACTGTTTGTTCCTCTTAATAGGAAACAACAAGCATATCCTTTCTCCATTTCTTGTTTCAGACTATAAACTGGATCCCCATAATGAGGAATCAGCAGATGAGCAGAAAAGTTCTGAAGAAGAGTCTCATGCAGATGGACTCAAAGGGGATATCATTCCTGTGATTGTTGCCAATAAGTGTGGGGCCAGGTCAGAAAGGCAGTGGGGGAACCTTGGAAAGGAAAGAGGAGCAAAAACCCCTCTTCAAGACACAGGTTCCAAGAAAGGGGCAGAATCAGTACACACTAAACCCACCCCAGGAGAGAGGCGTTACATATGTGCCGAGTGTGGGAAAGCCTTTAGTAATAGCTCGAATCTTACCAAACACCGGAGAACGCACACTGGGGAGAAACCTTATGTGTGCACCAAGTGTGGGAAGGCTTTCAGCCATAGCTCAAACCTTACCCTCCATTACAGAACACACCTGGTGGAGCGGCCCTATGACTGTAAGTGTGGGAAAGCCTTTGGGCAGAGCTCAGACCTCCTTAAGCATCAGAGAATGCACACGGAAGAGGCGCCCTATCAGTGTAAAGATTGTGGAAAGGCTTTCAGTGGTAAAGGCAGCCTCATTCGACACTATCGCATCCACACTGGGGAGAAGCCCTATCAGTGTAATGAGTGTGGAAAGAGCTTTAGCCAGCACGCAGGTCTCAGTTCACATCAGCGCCTCCACACCGGAGAGAAGCCCTATAAATGTAAGGAGTGTGGGAAAGCCTTCAACCACAGCTCAAATTTTAATAAACATCATAGAATCCACACTGGGGAAAAGCCCTATTGGTGTAATCATTGTGGAAAAACCTTCTGTAGCAAGTCAAATCTTTCCAAACATCAAAGAGTCCACACTGGAGAGGGAGAAGTACTATAATTGTCAAGTATCCCTCTTTCATTATTGTTTTCGTAAACTTTGGAACGTAAATGGTAGGGAGAAGCCCGTGATGCAGTAAACTCTATTGATAGATTTTGTTCCACCCACCATCAGGGATGCCTGTGGAGTGACAGCTCCACAGCACTCAAAGGCAGGAGGTCCCCTCCCCATACTTCAGGACCCAGCAAACCATGCCAGCATTGCCTTCTGCATAAACTGATGTATATCCAGTATAATTAAGAAATATTAAAACTGTTTAACCTTTCAATGTATATTCCAGAGTTATAACTTGTGAAGAATTGATAACACTGAACACAGTTTGATTGAATTCAGAATAAACATGTAACATCATATCATGCCTCAGGACTATTATTGTGATAAATGATGTACTATCAAAACTGACTATAAATGAAACTATTCCTACTGGTTTAGCTCTTAGAAATTTTGAGTTGGGGGTAAGTAAAGCTTTTGTTACTTGTGAATGTATATATGAGGGGTTGTGGTAGAGTATGTATAGAAGCTACATTTTGGTCTACATTGTGCTTTATTAAGTACATTTTTTTTATTGTTGGGATCATTTCATCAACTTCATTTGCATTTTGGTTGTATTTATCCTGTCCATTCCAGAGTCTATTAAAATTGACTCTCCCTGGGCAGCTTCCTTCTTCCAAAACTCGAGAAGTAAAACACAATTTGATTATCTTAAATCCATCCTGTCAAAAAAAAAAAAAAAATCCATCCTATCTGTCCTGACTGCAATCTCTGTGGCCTCTTAAAACACTTTTCCTTATGGTGTTTCTGGTCCAGAAACCTAGAAACCCAACTGCTTTATCTTCATATTATGATAGGTTTGTTTTGTTTTGTTAAGTAGTCACTGAAATATCTTTTTGCCTTCTGCCAAGCAGGGATAATAAGAAAGGTTCATGCTAGTACCAAGTCTGGTCTCTGGAAGCTGCCCTGTATGCCATCCCAGGATCCAATTAGGCCACAGTTCTAAATGATATTCTTCATGTATCAGCCATATATTTGGGGTGGTGTAAGGTGTAATTACTGGAAAAAGAAATTTTTTCTGTTTCAAGTAGTTTGTTAAAGATCTGGGTGTCCTGCCAGCACCTTAAACTCTACATGTAATGCCGACTTGTCTGTATATTCATGATAAAGGCCCACAGAGCATTTAGGCAGCAGCGGAGCCCACCATTAGGAGGTCTACTTTTCCTTTGATGGTTAAATGCCACCGCCTCTTCTAATCCAGAATTCAGTCATCCCCACTAACATTAGGGAACTGAGTTGCATGGTAGAATCTGCTGTTAATTCTAGCCTTGGGGACAGCCACCACTGAACTCAGTACCAGGCGCCTGTCATGGTGCATCCTGTTATCCTAGTGAACCAGGAGTTCTTTGGTTCCTCTGGGATAACAGTCCAGCGTGGGGTTCTCAGGTCTCAAGCAATAAGTTAGTTTTAACATGCACTGGGCCTGCTGACCCTCTTCTCAGAACTCTGGTAATTCTAATCTAAATCTACCTCATTTACCATAAGCTTTCATTTATGGCCAAGTCTGGAAGAACCATTCTAAAGTACATCAGGGCTGTTATTTGTTTTCTAACAAATTCCTTCGAACTTGCGGATGTAGCTCAGTGGTACATTCACCTGGCAAATGGGACCCTGTCCAATCCCCAGCACCACAAAAAAATAAGATTACCACAGACTTAATGGCCTGAAACGACATAACTTTGTTACCTTGCAGATCTGTAGATTAGGATTCTGAGATGAGTCTCAATCAAGCTGGTAGCAGGGGTGTGGTCCCCTGGGGAGGTCCTGGCAGGTCCTGGCGAGAGAGAATCAGTTTCCCTGCCTTTACCAGCTCCTAGAGGCCACCCAGGTGGCAGCCCACTTTATCTCATTGTTCCTTTCTCCACCTTCAAAGCCAGCAATGTTGCATCTCTTTGGCCATTCTTCCATATGCACATTTAATCTGACTCTTTGCCTTCCTCTTCCATATTTAAAGAACCTCTTGATGGCACTGGGGCTCCCTAGGTAATCTCCCTATCTTGAGGTCAGCAGGTTTGCAGCCATTCTCTCCCCATCCTGGCTTTATATTTCACACCCCAACACCATGGCCTCCACTCCCAGCCCAATACCTCAGGAGCCATTCCCACGTGTGTTCCTCTGGTTCCTGTCAGTAATCTTAGCCAGGTTCAGCAATGCTTCCATGAGAAAGATTTTCTCTTGCAGCACTCACTGTTTTCCCAGTGGGACTATGCTGAGGTCTGACCCCAGTTATTGTTATATATTCAGAAAGATGGGGACAGATGATTTTTGAGGAAGAGAAACGTTATCTGCTGAAGCATCTCTCCAGGAGAAATCTTGGTATGGTCACCGAAAAAAGGAAGAAGGGGAAAGACTTAAGCAAGAGAGGAGGAAGGCTTTTGCTAAGCCTGAAGGTGAAGGGGAAGTGGGATATTAAATTACTTGTTTTTCTAAAATTTAAATATAACTGGATGTCCTGTATTTTTACTTGTTAAATCTGGCAACCTTTAGGGACTGGGGTTGTGGCTCAGTGGTAGCATGTGTGAGACACTGGGTTTGATCCTCAGCACCATATAAAAATATAATAAAGGAATTGTGTCCATCTACAACTAAAAAATATATACATTAAAAAAAAATCTGGCAGCCCTAAATAAAGAAGGTGGGGCAGAAGCAGATGGCTTGAGTAGAAGTGAAGAAATAAATATTAACAATAAGGGCATTCAATTATAACATGCCTATAATTCCAGCAACTCGGGAGAGAGACAGGAGGATCACAAGTTCAAGGCCAGCACCAGCAACTTAGTGAGCCCCTGTCTCAAAAAATAAAAAGGACTGCCAGGTGCTGCGGTGCACGCCTGTAATCCCAGGGGCTTGGGAGACTGAGGCAGGAGGACAGAGAGTTCAAAGCCAGCCTCAGCAATGGTGAGGTGCTGAGCAACTCAGTGATATCCTGTCTCTAAATAAAATACAAAACAGGGCTGGGGATGTGGCTCAGTGGTTGAGTGCCCCTGAGTTCAATCCCCAGTACCAAAATTAATTAATTAATTAAAATAAAAAATAAAGGACTATGGATGTAGCTCAGAAGTAATGCACCCCTGGGTTCAATCCCCACACACACCAATAAAAGATATATTAGAAATATGTGACCCAAGGTGTTTGTGTGTTATGTGTATGTGGTGTTTGAAGACATCAAAAAAAAAAACTACTTAGGAAACAATATAAAAAATGAGCTGATGTGTAGTCTTTTCAACAAATAGTGCTGGAACAACTAGACATTCACAAAAACAAAAGACTTCGCACCCTTCACAGAAATTCAGACTAGGTCACAAATCTAACCAAACACTAAACTATAAAAATACTAGAAGATAACAGGAAGAAATCTAAATGACCCTAGGTTCGGCAATGACTTTTTAGACACAATCTGTGAAAGACAGAAAAACAGATAAACTTTAAAATTACTAGGTGTGGTGTCATGCACCTGTAATTTCAGCTATTCAGGAAGCTGAGGCAGAAAGATCATGAGTGCAAGGCCAGCCTGGGAAACATAGGAAGACACTGTCTCTTATTTTTAAAATTAAATATATTTGCTCTGTGAAATTAAAAAATAAAGGACTATAATAATTTTTATTAAGAATAATAATTTTTAAAAAGCCACAGGTGGCAGAAAATATTTTCAAAAGAAATATCTAATAAATCACTGTCATCCACAAGTGGGGGAGTAAATCAGTGGTAGAGTACTTGCCCAGCATGCACAGGTCCTAGGTTCAATCCCCAGTACCACCAAAAGAAAAGAAAGACTTGTCACCCAAAAATTCACAAAGAAAAAACTCAAGAAGAAAACAAATAGCTTGATTTTAAAAAGGGTCAAAGACCTTAACAGATACCTCACTAAAGAAGATGTGAAGAAGGCAAATAAGCATATTCGCAAAGATATCCCACATCATGTCAGAAATTTTGGAGTTTTAACAATATTATACCACCACACACTTATTAGTGAAACCCAGAACACAGACAATATTACAAACTGGTGAGGATGTGGAGCAACTCAAAAATCTCATTTATTTCTGGCAGGAATACAAAATGGTGTAGCCACTTTGGAAAACAGTTTAGTGGTTTCTTACAAAACAAAACTTCACCTTACAATCTATCAGTCACATTGCATGGTGATACATACCTGTAATCCCAGCAATTTGGAGGCTGAGGCAGGAGGATCACAAGTTCAAAGCCGGCCTCAGCAACCTAGTGAGTCCCTAAGCAACTTAGTGAGAGACCATGTTTCAAGATTAAAAAAAAAAAAAAAAAATTAAAAGGGGGAGTAGGGGACAGGGGTATGGCTCAGTGGTTAAGTGCCCCTGGTTTCAATCCCCAGCACCAAATTAATTAATTAATTAAAAAATAATGAATTGGGCTGGGGATGTGGCTCAAGCGGTAGCGCGCTTGCCTGACATGCTGCGGCCCTGGTTTGCTCAGTGAGAGTACTTGCCTAGCACGGGTGAGGCCCTGGGTTCGATCCTCAGCACCACATAAAAATAAGTAAATAAAATAAAGGCATTGTGTCCATCTACACCTAAAAAATAAATATTAAAAAAATAAATCATATGAATGTAACAAATATAGAAAATTATTCTGACAGGGCTGGGGATGTGGCTCAAGCGGTAGCATGCTCGCCTGGCATGCATGCGGCCTCGGTTCGATCCTCAGCACCACATACAAACAAAGATGTTGTGTCCACCGAAAACTAAAAAAATAAATATTAAAATTCTCTCTCTCTCTCTCTTTAAAAAAATTTTTAAAAAAGAAAATTATGCTGACAGACATTACATCTTATAATGGATGAGAATTCATACTAAAGAGAAATCCTTTGTGTGTTATGAACATGGGCAAGCTTTTGGTCAGAATTTAGTTTCTGACACAACAAAAACAGGAAAGGAGCTATTTAAATGTAGTCACTTGGGCTGGGGATGTGGCTCAAGCAGTAGCGCGCTCGCCTGGCATGTGTGCGGCCCAGGTTCGATCCTCAGCACCACATACAAACAAAGATGTTGTGTCCGCCAAAAGCTTAAATAAATAAATATTATAAATAAATAAATGTAGTCACTGTGGAAAGTTATAGACTTCTCAATTAGACATCAGAAAGTTCATACCACAGAAAAGGCATATAAACATCAAGTGCGGGGAAGGGGGGGGAAGCATTCAATTGTAAATCATACTTATCAGTGGCCCATGCCTGTAATCCCAGTGGCTTGGGAGGCTGAGACAGGAGAATTTCAAGTTCAAAGCCAGCTTCAGCAACTGCAAGGCACTAAGCAACTCAATGATACCCTGT